ATCCATCCATCCATCATCCATCCATCCATCATCCATCATCCATCCATCCATCCATATCCATCCATCCATCCATCCATCCATCATCCATCCATCCATCATCCATCATCCGTCCATCCGTCTGTCTGTCCATCCCTCCCTCCCTCCCCCAGTGCTGGATTTAACCCCACTCCCACTCTGCAGTGGGGCCCTGCCCTGGGGGGTGGAGGGGGAAGGGGGTGGAGCATCCTCAGCTCCACCCCACTGACCACACCCCCATGAGCTCCACCCCTCCAGTCTCTCCCAGTATGAACTGGAGGGTACTGGTGCAGGTCCAGTCTCTCCCAGTAATGAACTGGAGGTTACTGGTGCAGGTCCAGTCTCTCCCAGTATGAACTGGAGGTCGCTGGTGCTCGGGGGCTGCAGGAGCCGCCCCAGCAGGAGGCCCCGACCTGCTTATTAAAGGCCGATTAACGAAGATTAAAACCTGCCAGCAGTGTCTGCCGGGCCCAGCCGCCTCCCCCGTCCCTGCTGCCGGACCCGGGGCTCCTTTGGGGCACCCCAGCCCGGCCATGGGGTCCCCAGAGGTCCCCAAACCCCCAGGTCACCCTCCCAGCACCTTCGATGACCGAGGGATCCACTCCAGCCTGTGGGAATACCCGGGAGCATCCCTGGGTGCTCCAGGGAAGCAGCCCCATCCCTCCTCTCCTCCCTTCTCTTTGTCCTTCCAGCTTTTCCTTCTCTTCCTCTCACCCCAGGCCACCAGGAGCCCCCCCAGGATTCCCTGGATTCCAATAAAGCTGCTGAAACCCATCCTTGTGTTTCCAGGCTCCTCCTTGGGTTTGCACTCCCAAAAATAAAACATCGACCCTGGGGGTGAGAAGGGGCTGGAAATGGAGGAATTCACCCCAAAAGCTCAGCCCGTGGGTGGGAGCAAGGGGGGGATGCTCTAACACTCCTGAGGTTGATGCTGGAAGATGAAAATGAGATAAATTACACCTAAAAAGTAAAAGGATTAACCCCCAAAACCATCCTGGTGATGCTCAGCTTCTCCTCTCCGGCCCCAGCGTGGGAGGGGGGAGGGACCAAACCCCAAAACACCCACCTGGAAGGGAGGGATGGCAAATATTCCCAAAAATCCCCCAAAACAGGAGAGTTGGACACCCAGGTAGACACATTTGTAACAATTTATTGAATGAGGCAATAATAGACACTGGGAAAACAAAAGGGGGGGGGTCCATGCTCTGCTATTTGCCTGGTTTTTGTCTTTTTTTCTTTTTTTGGGGGGGTTGGGAACTAAAAGAACCTCATTTCATTGCCAAAGAAACACTGACTTGGAAAGCCACCGACATCTTCACAACGACGATAAAAAAATAATCATTAGGAAAAAAAAAAACACCCCAAAAAAACCCCCAAAAAAACAAACCCCAAAAGAGCTTCATAAACTGGGAGAGAACCAGGACAGTTTCTATGGAAAAAATCTCCCTCCTCTCGGAAAAAATAAAAAGGAACTGTATACAAAGAACATTTGATAGGTTTGTTTTTTGTGGGGTTTTTTTTGTTTGTTTGTTTGGGTTTTTTCCCCCCCATATAAAACAAGGAAATACAAGAATCTGAAAACTTTCCTCAAAAGGCGGAGCAAGACGTGGAGAACTTGAACGGTCCACTTGGAAATCATAATTAAAAACTCCCCCCCCTCCAAATTAACCCCAAAAATTAAATCCCCTGGGAAGTGCTTGTGGGGGGAGGGGGTTTGGTTGGGCGCCAGGGTTTGGCCCATGGGGATGCTGAGTAAAATCTGATCCCCCAAAAACACCCCACCCCATCCCAAAGGCTTTATTATAAATTTTAACCCTCCTGGGAAGGATTTTGGGGTTAAAACCGTGCTGGGAGAGGCACAGGGCAGGACCGGGGTGGGGGGAGGAGGTTTGGGGTGAAGAGGGGCCCCCAAAGGGAAGGGTCTCGCTCTCATCCCCCCCTTCAGACCAAGCTTTTCCTGTGGGAATTGCAGGAGGAGAAGTCGGGGGTGGCAGCAGGGAATGGGATGAGCCCGAGGTGGCTCCTTGAGAAGGGAAATCCCAGGAATGTGGCGTGGAAAAAAGGGGGGGGACACAGCCAGAGCCCCTTTAGAGGCGCTTCCGCTCCGGTCTAGAGCCACGAAACCGGGAAATAATAATAATAACAACAACAACAACAACAATAATAATAATAATAAAGAAAAAAACAGAACAAAACCAACCAAAAAAACCCCAAGGATGTAAAATGGCAGGTACAAGAGCAGAGAAGGAGGAACAGGTCTCCAGTGTGCACCAAGGGGATCCTCCGGCAGGCTCCTGGAAGAGCATCATCCCTTCGGGAGGTCTCCACCCCCCCCTGCAGTCACACATGCATTTTATTTTATTTTTTTTTAATTTTTTTTCTGTTTTTTTTTTTTTCTTCCCAGGAGAGGAGTCTTTTTTTCCAAACTTTTTTTTTTTGTGTGGTTTGTTGTTTTTTTTTTCTTTTTTTTGTTTTTTTTTTGTTGTTGTTTTTTCCGGGGTGGGTTTTTTTGGAATATAAAAGTCCGTATTAAAATCTTTGATACCTAATTTGCTGTCGAGGTCGGTGCTGGCTTGAGGGTGTCTGTGCTGCCCCCCAGCCTCCTCCTGCTCGATCCCACATGAGGGGAAAACGGGGCAATAAAGGGTCGCTTTATTTTTATTTTCTTTTCAACCTCCTTGGAATCAAAGTCCCGTCACAATTTGGCTTCTCACTCCTCAGAGAGCAGAGTGGCGCTAAAAAAATGCACTTTACACACATCCTCTGCCAGGATTCGTTTTGTTTTTTTTTCTATTTTTCTGGTTTAAAAAAGAAAAAAAAAAAGAAAAAAAAAAGAAAATAAAAGGAAACAAAAAAAAAGGTCAACAAAACCTTTTGTTTCCAAAGCCGGGAGACTCAAATGCCACCTGATTGCATCTCCGGAGAGGCGTAAAAAAACCCCACGAAGTCGCGTAAGAGACGAGGAGAATCGCCGCGACGCCGCTGCTCCGTCACTGATCCAAGGTCACCACCTCCACCGCCTGCCCGTCCATGGTGACGGCAGTGTCCGCTATCCTCGTGGTCACCGGCGCCATCGCCACCTGCACGGGGCCGTTGCCTTGGGCCAAGCTGGTCACCACGGTCTGGTACATGCTCACCGGGATCTGCACAAGGCCTGCGGGGACAGAGGGGACAGCGGTGGCAGCAGGAGGTGGCACAGCCCAGGGTGAGGGGACAGTGGCTGTGAGGTGTCATCCATCATCCATCCATCATCCATCCATCCATCATCCATCCATCATCCATCCATCCATCCATCCATCCATCCATCATCCATCCATCATCCATCCATCCATCCATCCATCCATCCATCATCCATCCATCCATCCATC